AAAATTTTGTTTTCTTCAGCTTCTCAAATTAGGTGTACATTAAAAAAAAAAAAAAAAAATTCCCACAAGATATAGTGCTACAAGAAGAGATCCTATCAGTAAGGTAACATATTTGAAGCGAGGTCATCTATATAAAAGAAATCTCAGCTCCGGAGTAGAGGTGTGCAAGTTGTTTGGAGTTTCCCTATGCCAGAAATACAACACTGTCCGTGGAAAAGAGAGGAAACGAACCTAACACAATAGCAGACGCGTGTGCTTTATAAAAAAGTATATTCTCCGTGTATTTATTACTTGATGTGTTCTTAAATTCTCTATTTCAGAAATTCTGGGTTAAAAACAAATGTGGAAGCAAAGGCCTCCACTCCACTTACAAAAAAAAAAAAAAAAAAAAAAGCAATTCTCTTTCCTTTCTTATCACCACCGAAGAAACTGAATGGGGCCACGGAGTCTGCCGGCCCTGTTTTCACCTGGTGCAATGCAAATTGAAGTGCAAAGAGTTTCAGAAGACAACAGACCAGTGTGTTGAGCTGCTTATGGCTCCTGAAACAGTAGCCATGACAACCAGCACAGCTCAAGAAGCCTGGCCTTCGGTCCAAGAGCTCCGCTTCCTCACCCAAATCTGAAATAGCATGACATTAGTGTCTTCAAAAGCACTGGAGATTTTTCTATGAAAGAAATAGGTTTCCTTAGTAGTCACAGATGTTAAAGGGTATTGTCAATCATTTCCTTAAAAAACAAAACAAAATCCAGAGCTACAACAACAAAAATAAATTTTGGCAACATATTTCAGTAAAGATCAAACTATGTGCAAAGAGTGGATTTTATGATTACTAGGAGCTACTGTTCATCTTGAACATGCAGCATTATATTGCAATCTATGCGGTATCTAAGGAGTAATCCACAAGATGCAGGAAATCCAAACATTCCTTGAAATTGTACAACCCTACTCCAGAGCAGTCAAAGTGCTGCTTCTGGACACATCAGTGTACCACACACACACCAGCCCCGTCCCTGAGTAAGAGGTGTGAAAGGTTCCGCAGAGTCCCTTTAGGGGAGAAGGAGGGATGCTGCCACTTCCTGGTGGGGTGGGGGAAGCCCAACACACTCACCTAACAGAAAACATAGAGGCTCACAATTCTGAGTTAGAAATGGGATCAACAACAAAAATCAGCCCAAACTAAACTGGGTGAGTTAGGGAAAACGAAAAATTGACCGACATAGAAAATTATCCTGAAAGTCCAAATGAAAATGCAATTTGGATTTCCACTTTAAAAGATCTGAGGTAAGTGGCATCCATCTCTGTATCCCTCCCTCCCCCCTCTGCCCCAGTGTGGCCCAGACAAACTGAAATAATTCTTAAGTTAAACATTCTAAGGAACAGTCATTTTATATATTTAGAAATCCCTAGAAAGAGAGGTTCTTGTTTGTTGGTTTCTTATGATTATTATTATTTTTTCTTTTCGCCCTGACTAATTTCTTGGTGATTGTGTTCCACTGTAAACGCAAAAGGCCTGCTGTTATTAGTTTAAAAATGGAAAACAGGAAAGGAAGAACAAAAGACGGCTGTTGATAAATATTGCAAAGTGGACATAGTACAGAGGCACATGGCTGATCCTTGTAAGCTGAACGGCACCGAAGAATTTCAACCCCTGTCATCGTTAATGTTTGCTACACAGAAGCGGTGACAGAGGCTGCTCTGGGAGCCCATGGGCCCACCAGCGTCTGCAAACAGGAGGCTCCTGCCCTCTGCATTCTTCCTATTTGAAGAGAAAGCTACCACAGGGAGTGGTGACCGTGGTTGGCAGGTGGTCCCCTCCACAGCCACTGGCCAGCACGCTCAGAACACACACACACAACAGGCCATACTTCCTGTCCAGGCTCAGAGGCAGGGCTCCAAGTCTCAGGGACACAGACTCCGAGGAGGGGGCCTACCCGCTCGCAGAAAACGCCGTGGAAAATGGGTTGACTCCAGGCTACCTGGCTCCAGAGTGCGTCTGAGAAATGAATCTGCCTCCTTCCTCTGCACACTCCACATTCACCATTCCGTGTGGTGACAGGGGACAGTGCGGCTCCTCCCCCAGGTCTCCTTGGCTGGCTTTTTCTGCAACTCCGCGGCAGACGCACGGGGCTCCTGAAGGCTGCCCGCCCCAGCACTCAGCATCTGCAGCAAGGGAAAGGTGGGAGGCGCTCTCCCTGCTGGCTCCTTCCCTCCAGCCCTGCTCTGGCCAGAATGGGGAAGATCAACCCAACGAGGAAGAAGCGGAAAGGGAATGAGCTTTTAACTATAGAGCACACTGGTCAGACTCTATTGGCACAGAAAGTATTGCACATGCTAAAAAAGCAAGAGAATGAAATGGGACAAGTGCTGAGAAAGAACCAATTATTTTTATAATTCCTATACCTGAAATAGAACCACAAAAATGATGATGATGATCCTATTGCTTCAAACCACGTGTGTTTTCGCATCTTAGTGTTGGTTTAGCGGATCCAGTCAGTTCCGTACTCGAAGTAAGCCAAAAGGTGGTGTGTGTTTCTCTGAGTCCACATGAGTTGTCAATAGTGATACTAACGAGAACAAAGTCTGTGTGGCAGCCCGTATTCCTCTTACCATCAAAGGTTAAAAAACAAAAAAGAAAAACAAAACCTAATAATTGCAAGTGCCCTGAGCAGAATATATGGAAGATTAAGCAAGTTCTCTGAACAGAAACGTTTAAAAAATACAGCACTAACTAAGCAGTCTGACCGCAAGAATGAACCCACCCACCTCTCTGCAAGCATGCTGAGAGGGTAATGAAGTTCCAGGAAAGTCAAGGAACTATTCTAGCTATTCTAAACCTATTCAGATGTTTTTGGTACACCCCAGAAAATGGTTTGTAAAAATCATTAGTCCTGCTGAGCGTTAAACGCAAATGAATACTAGATAGCCAAAATGTGGGCTGATGTCAGATTTTTTTTTTAATTTGTGAAATGAAGGAAGTACTATTTTCAAGGGGGTAAAAGAAAAATCAGGTATGGATTTGTTCAGGTTCGCTGCAGCCATCCAAGTAAGAATATTTAAAAATCTCTCCCTACTTATAAAACGTTTTTGTTTTTTTTTTTAAAGCACTTTAAAGATGCACTCAAAACCCACAAATGATATTTCAGATCTCTGGGAATGAAAGGTTTAAACTATGAAATACCCTTTCTGGGTTTGTACCAAACATTAAATCTTGATTTGATTTTGAATAGAAAAAAAAAGTCATTCTGAAAATAACACTAATAACAATAATAAAGTAATTGTTTAAAAAAAAATCTTGCTCACATATATAAACGTTTTTATGGAAAACTCAATGAATCTGAAGAAAATTCTTAAGAGTTTCTAAGAGCCCACTAAGACCTGGCTTTTTGTGACAGATGTGGTAAAAAGACCAAAATGAATTTTCAAAGGAACATAACCTTATAAAATGGCCTAGAGTTTAGGCAGGTTAGAAAGAAATTTTGCTACATTTATTTATGCTCGTTCAGTCCCCCAAACCTTTCCCACAATGTTATTGGATAAAAACTGCAGGAATATCACACAAATTACAAACTCAAGATGTGCAAATCGCAAGGTTCTTTAAAAGTTCATCTTAAAAAGAAAAACACTGGACAAAAATGAGTATTCTCTTCTCTATCCCTTTCCTCAGTTTCTCTGCCCACTCTGCATATGCCTGTAACTGTTTCTCAGACATCAAAGTGAAAAGTGCCTCCCGTCAGGTAGTACTTGGTGGTCATTTATTGTCACATACTAGTTCATAATTCACATTCATCCCTTTAAACCACATTGAAACTTTCAATATCTTGCTCTTCAGCAATTCTGCAGAGCTGAAATGTAGTTACAGTGTTGAAAAAAAAGAAAGCAACTTAGTTTTTTTTTTTTTCCTCTTCCCGAAGAGTTTAAAATGAGATACAGTACTTGTTGAATGAGAGACCAAGATGCTTGGTAATAAAGTGTGAACAGTATTTTTAAATGCTTAAAGATAGTAATATATGCTCATCTTCAAAATCTAATTCCTCATGTCACACTGGAATCTGAAAAAAACAAAAAAAGTGGCACCCGAGTTGTCCATAGTCATGAACTATAAACAGTACTAGAATTAAAAGACAAAGATTTTGCAAACTCATCGTGAAGAGCTTCCGTTGCTCTCACGGAAGGGCAGTTTGCATCTACCTCTTGGGAGTGAAGTCAATGCAGTAACCTGATTGGTTTTCCTAACACTGCACAGAAGCCAGCGTGGGTGTTCACTCTTTCCCCGCCCCCACCCCCAAACCCCCTTACCCCACGTGGAGTCATGACAGCAGGGGCTTCCCTGTCCACCACGACACCCTGGTGACATCACTGCACTAGTAAAGCAGAAATGAAATCCCGCATGTGGCAGTTGCTCTTTAAAAAAAAAAAAAAAAAAATAGATATCAGTGCAGTCAGGCCCCATAGGGGGAAATATATATCTATACAATTAAAAGTTGCTTTTACTGTAAAATATGTTGGAGAGAAAAATGTTCTTTTAAATGGTAAGCTTTCCAAATCTGCCGTCTGACGCGTCTCCGCGATGCCCTGAAGCTGGGTTCCTGATGTTGATTTTGTACGTGGGAACCCCAGGAGGACCCTGCTCTGAATCCCCAGTCCCATGCTGATAGCAAGAGAGGGAGGCAGAGGGAGGCAGAGAAAAAGAGACCCTCACTCGCCGCCACAGCGCCTGTGCACCCCCACATGCATGCACCCCTGCAACTCCGCAGGACCCTTCCCACGGAACTTTCCCCTGACGCTAGCAGGAGTCAGTGCCCTGGGCTGCTTCTGTGCTGCTAGAGAAGGCAGGTGCCCTGAAGCCCCACTCCTTTCTTCCCGGGGGATGCCTGGAGCTCCCCTCCTCCCACCTGCTCACTGACAGACACGCGTGGAAAAAGCATATGCACCAGTCTCCTGCGACACACCTGCTGTAACTCTAATGACAAGGTTAGAACAGAAACCTAAAATAAGAGGATAACATGTAAATACTGTGTTATTTAGCCTACAGTACAGTAATCTGGATACAAATGATAAGGGAGAGCCACGTTTCCTTTCCCCACGCTGCCTCTACTTGCCTACATTAGACCGGCCTTCAATGCAAATCTTAACCTCCTGAGGAATTAGAGAAGGCTTAGGAAGAGTCAAAGGTGGTTCGTCTTCTGACTTCTCCAGTTTGCGGCTCTCCGGCGCCGACCACCTCCTCTTCCTCGTGGCCGGAGGCTTGCTGGGTTCTATTTTGGTGAGGAAGGGCGCTGCGGGCAATCCCATTTTCTCTGGAAACTTCAGTTCGCCGTTCTCAGACAGCATCTGGGCACTCCCCTGGTGGATTCCGTTTTCCTGCTCGGCGTACCTGTGTCTGCTGCCCGCCAGGCCGTCGGCCTTTGAGTGCTTCAGCAGGACGCTGGCGGGATCCACGGGCTGGCCCTTTTTAACAGAGCCGTTCTTCAGGTTCTTGAGGGTCAGCGAGATGCAGACATCCCCAACTGAGAGTTTGGAACACGGCAAATCAAAGAGCTGGCTGGTTCTCTCCGGACAGCAGGAAGACCAGCCCTGTCCAAACACAAAAAAAGGATACTCTACCAAAACTTCAACGCTGACCTGCGGAAACAGGGAGAGAGAAAGGGGGAGGAGGAAGGGAACAAATAAAAACGTTTTATTCTTGTTTGATTTAAGCACACGTATGAACTCACACACAGACACACACGGGCACACAGACACACACAGACATACAGAGACACAGGCACACACACAGACACACAGGCACACACACAGACACACAGGCACATACACACAGATACACACACAAACACGGGCACATACACAGGCACACACACAGGCACGCACAGACATACAGAGACAGGCACATACACAGACACATACACAGGCACATACACACAGACATACACAGGCACACAGATACACAGGCACACACAGACACACAGGCACATACATAGGCACACACACAGGCACAGACATACAGATACACAGACACAGGCATACACACAGACACAGGCATACACAGATACACACACAGGCACACACAGACACAGGCACACAGACATGCACAGACAGACATACAGAGACACAGACACAGGCACACACATACACAGGCACATACACAGACATACACAGGCACACACAGACACACACAGGCACATACACACATACACAGGCACACACAGGCACACAGAGACATGCACACACAGGCACACACACACAAGCATAGACACACAGAGACACAGATACACAGACATAGGCACACACAGAGGCATGCACAGGCACATACAGACATACACAGGCACACAGACACACAGGCACACACAGACACACACAGGCACATACACAGGCACACACAGGCACAGACACATACAGAGACACAGATAGACACAGGCGCACACACAGACACAGGCATACACAGATACACAGACACACACAGGCACACAGACATGCAGACAGAGACACAGACATACAGGCACACACAGGCACATACACACATACACAGGCACACAGGCACGCACAGACATACAGAGACATAGGCACACACACAGACACATACACAGGCACATACAGACATACACAGGAACACAGGCACACATATGCACACAGAGACATGCACATACACAGGCACACAGACACAGGCACACAGACATACAGAGACATGCACACACACAGGCACATACACACATACAGAGGCACACACAGGCACAGACAGATACAGAGACACAGATACAGAGACACAGGCACACACACAGACACAGGCATACACAGATACACAGGCACACACAGACACACAGGCATACACAGATACACAGACACACACAGACACACACAGGCACACAGACATGCACAGACATACAGAGACACAGACACACACACAGGCACAGGCACACACACATACACAGGCACATACACAGGCACACACACACAGGCACACAGACATGCACAGACATAGAGACAGACACAGGCACACACACAGACACAGGCATACACGGATACACAGGCACACAGACATGCACAGACATACAGAGACACAGACACAGGCACACAGACACATACACAGGCACATACACAGACACACACAGGCACACACAGACACAGGCACATACACACATACACAGGCGCACACAGACATAGAGACATGCACACACACACAGGCATAGACACACAGAGACACAGATACACAGACATAGGCACACACAGAGGCATGCACAGGCACATACACACAGACATACACAGGCACACAGACACACAGGCACACACAGACACACACAGGCACATACACACATAGGCACACACAGGCACAGACAGAGACATGCACATACACATACATACACAGGCACACACAGGCATAGACAGACATACAGAGACACAGACAGACACAGGCACACACATACACAGGCACATACACAGACATACACAGGCACACACAGACACACACAGGCACATACACACATACACAGGCACACACAGGCACACAGAGACATGCACACACAGGCACACACACACAAGCATAGACACACAGAGACACAGATACACAGACATAGGCACACACAGAGGCATGCACAGGCACATACAGACATACACAGGCACACAGACACACAGGCACACACAGACACACACAGGCACATACACAGGCACACACAGGCACAGACACATACAGAGACACAGATAGACACAGGCGCACACACAGACACAGGCATACACAGATACACAGACACACACAGGCACACAGACATGCAGACAGAGACACAGACATACAGGCACACACAGGCACATACACACATACACAGGCACACAGGCACGCACAGACATACAGAGACACAGGCACACACACAGACACATACACAGGCACATACAGACATACACAGGAACACAGGCACACATATGCACACAGAGACATGCACATACACAGGCACACAGACACAGGCACACAGACATACAGAGACATGCACACACACAGGCACATACACACATACAGAGGCACACACAGGCACAGACAGATACAGAGACACAGATACAGAGACACAGGCACACACACAGACACAGGCATACACAGATACACAGGCACACACAGACACACAGGCATACACAGATACACAGACACACACAGACACACACAGGCACACAGACATGCACAGACATACAGAGACACAGACACACAGGCACAGGCACACACACATACACAGGCACATACACAGGCACACACACACAGGCACACAGACATGCACAGACATAGAGACAGACACAGGCACACACACAGACACAGGCATACACGGATACACAGGCACACAGACATGCACAGACATACAGAGACACAGACACAGGCACACAGACACATACACAGGCACATACACAGACACACACAGGCACACACAGACACAGGCACATACACACATACACAGGCGCACACAGACATAGAGACATGCACACACACACAGGCATAGACACACAGAGACACAGATACACAGACATAGGCACACACAGAGGCATGCACAGGCACATACACACAGACATACACAGGCACACAGACACACAGGCACACACAGACACACACAGGCACATACACACATAGGCACACACAGGCACAGAGACATGCACATACACATACATACACAGGCACACACAGGCATAGACAGACATACAGAGACACAGACAGACACAGGCACACACACAGACACAGGCATACACAGATACACAGACACACACAGGTACACAGACATGCAGACAGAGACACAGACACAGGCACAGACACACAGGCACATACACAGGCACATACACACATACACAGGCACACACACACACAGGCACGCACAGACATACAGAGACACAGGCACACACACAGACACATACACAGGCACATACATACATACACAGACACACAGGCACACACAGACACACACAGGCACATACACACATACACAGGCGCACACACATGCACACAGACATACAGAGACATGCACACACACAGGCGCATACACAGGCACACATACACAGGCACACAGACATACAGAGACATGCACACACACAGGCACATACACACATACAGAGGCACACACAGGCACAGACAGATACAGAGACACAGATACAGAGACACAGGCACACACACAGACACAGGCATACACAGATACACAGGCACACACAGACACACACAGACACAGGCACACAGACATGCACAGACATACAGAGACACAGACACACAGGCACACACAGACACAGGCACATACACACATACACAGGCGCACACACATGCACACAGACATACAGAGACATGCACACACAGGCACATACATACACAGGCACACATACACAGGCACACAGACATAGGCACACACAGGCACATACACACATACAGAGGCACACACACACAGGCACAGACAGATACAGAGACACAGATACAGAGACACAGGCACACACACAGACACAGGCATACACAGATACACAGGCACACACAGACACACAGGTATACACAGATACACAGGCACACACAGACACACACAGGCATACACAGATACACAGGCACACACAGACACACACAGGCACACAGACATGCACAGACATACAGAGACACAGACACACAGGCACACACACAGACACATACACAGGCACATACACACACACAGGCACACAGACACAGGCACACACAGACACATACACAGGCACATACACAGGCACACACACACAGGCACACAGACATGCACAGACAGACATACAGAGACAGATACACAGACACACAGGCACACACACAGACACACACAGGCTGAATGGGGGAAAAATGACTCAGTTTGTAGACCTCCCTCTCCCCCAGCAACACACTATAAATGAGGCTCTTCACTTTTGCTTCTGCCTATACTCACCATAGGCAGAAACCATCGGTGTTTAAAATCTTCCACCAGGTATTAGCTCTATAGCCCGTCTGTTAGAACCAGTCACTTGAACCCCAGCAATGACAGGGCACCCCTTAGCGTTGAGCACTGAGCTAGGCTTCATGGGCAACTCAGAAGCCCAGTATGGTTTTAGATTTTATGAGCTCAATGGACAACTATTATCATACAGGACAGGACTAAACATGGATCAGAGTGAGACTATAGGTAAATTCCAGGAGGCAGGCATGACGTGTTTACCAGTGAGTCCCCAGCCCCTAAAAGGATGCTTGGTGGCTGGCTGCAGTGACTCACGTCTGTAATCCTAGCACTTTGGGAGGCCGAGGTGGGTGGGTCACTTGAGGTCACGAGTTCAAGACCAGCCTGGCCAACATGGTGAAACCATCTGCACTAAAAATAATTAGCTGGGCTTGGTGGTGGGCACCTGTAATTCCAGACACTTGGGACGCTGAGACACAAGAATCACTTGAACCCAGGAGGCAGAGGTTGCAGTGAGCTAAGATTGTGCCACTGCACTCCAGCCTGGGTGACAGAGCAAGACTCCATCTCAAAAAGCAAACAACAACAGCAAAAGGATGCTTGGCATATGGTTGGAGCTTAATAAATATTTACTGGATAGGCCAGGCGTGTGGCTCAGGCCTGTAATCCCAGCACTTTGGGAGGCTGAGGTGGGTGGATCACAAGTCCAGGAGTTCAAGACCAGCCTGGCCAATAGGG